AGGGGAGATTTCTTCCTCTCTTTAAAAATGCATCTACTTCACTAAGTCACATGGATGAAATAGTTTGCTGATCACTAACTTACATAAATGTGTTAGTCACAAAAATGTATCATTAGTTGAAGAGGCAGTAAAATCCCAACACAAAAGGAATGAAAAACCCAGCCCCTTGGTTCAATTGTTTTACATCCCAAATACAAGCTAATATATGGATTGTCTGTGTTTATAATTCTTTCCCCAGGTAGCAAATTTCAAAGACACAGAATTTTAGGGGAGTTTAGTCTATGTCTTAAGTTTTTTCTTCATTCTAATTCTACTCACCAATGTTATGTATCATTGATGAGTTTGCTTCACATCACGGGGGCATGTTCAACCAACAATTTGGCACAACTGGTTTGGGGGCGTACTATAGCTGATACTGATTTCACAAGTGGTTGACATAGTTACATATCAATCTTAATTTCCCAGCTACTTTACAATTTCTATGGGTTGGAACTGCCAAGACAAAGTATATACAAAATCCACTACTGTACATTTTTCCTAGTCAGGATAAATTCTCACTGTGTTTGAATGAAGGTACCCCCTTTCTTACAAGCATACAAGATATTGGCATTTTAAATCATTAGTCATATGCTAGAACAGAAAAAAAGCTCTCATTTTGTGAATGTTAAGATCATTTTCACATAGCTTGATATGTCATTTGTGTTATTTCATGCTCCTCAGTCCTTTATTTGTTCATTCCCTAGTAAAACCAGTCTCTGTTCCTGAAAGATAAAGAGATCTTTTCCATCCACTGGTTCACTCCCCAAATGGCCACAATGACCAGGACTAGTCCAGGCTAAAGCCAGAAGCTTTTTCTGGCTATCCCACATAGGTGCAGCATGCCAAACACTTAGGCCATCTTACACTGATTTCCCAGGTTTATTAGTGGAAGAGCAGGTTCCTGAACTGGCACTCATGATATAAGCAGCACAGACAATGGCTTCACACACTATGCTACAACACCAGTGCCTGTTCTTGACTTCTAAGAGCTTCTCAAATATATTAGCATTTTGTTATACATTCTAATGAAATAGCATGTTTCCACTTTTATTTTATTGTGGCATTTTACCTTTTGCATAAAAGTTGCAGATCGAAATCTATTCACATCATTTTTTAAAAAAATGAAAAAGGGCAAGTATTATGGAGTAGTCGAGTAAAGCACCACCATCTCGCCAGCCTCCCAGATGGGCACCAGTTTGAGCCCCACTCACTCAACTTCCTGTCTAGCTCCCTGCTTATGATCCATGTACTTGGCTCCCACGTGGGACACAGGATTAACCTCCTTGCTCTCAGCTTTACTCTGCCATAGCATTGGTCTTTGGAAGCCATCTAGGGAGTAAGCCAGCAGAGTATCTCTGCCTCTCCCTGTTAATCTTTCTAAAATAAATAAATAAATCTTTAAAATGCAAATAAATGCATAATCTATATATTAAGTACAACTTCAAAAATATTTAAAATGTCCTATTTGGATTCCTCAACACCCTATGCAAAAACCTGAGGCTCAAAGATTCAAACTTAAGTAAAATCACGGCTGCCAGAGACATCTCTCTCCCAATCTGTTGACATTTTGCCACCCATTCACAACCTGCAATGCATAAAAAGCTATGTGGTCTTACTCTGACTTCTGACAGTCTTCCCTACAAATACAATCTCCTCCATAAAGAAAAAGTCTTGAAATCTATGCCAATAGGTTGGATTTATATGACTAAATATTAACCTTCAACCTGCTCACTGAACAGCATTAGCTTCTTCCTAAATTCATTCTAGGACCTTTTAATTCAAAAGATCTTTGAAATAAATTTCTAAAATCTCAACAATAATAGAACTGAATTACATGAAATGCCCAGACCAAATGAATATGGGTTTTAACTGAGTCTTTATTTACAGAAGTAAATCTGTTGTTTTGATGCTTATCGATATAAACCAGCCTCAAAAAGACAAATATCATATGTTGTCTCTGATATTAGATAATCTTCATGCAGAATACATAATCAGCAAGTATGTTTGTATATTCTCTTGGTGAACTGCATAATGGAGACTAGTATATCAGGAAGTGAAGACACATTGCAATATGAATCTCTACCCCTGAATAAAAGGAGTATGCCTAATGAAAAGGTTACATATGCCTTGGCAGTATGATGCCTGATATTCTACATTAACTATACCTACAATATCATGAGGCATTTAGACAGCAAAATGTAAAGATATAACTGTTACTAAAGGACCATGCTACTGTGAAATTATGTGGAGGGTAGCATGGCGGGGGGGGGGGGGAACAAAGAGAGGAAAGAGAGGAGGAAGAATGGATTTCTATAGCTACAAAACTGCATTATGGAAAAAATAATTTTTCACACTTTTGGAGATTTGCAAGGAAAATACAATACTATAAAAGAAGTAGAGTTTAAGCAAGACAAAAATCATACTAAAGGTCATATAGCTAAAAAGGAAAACAGTAAGTCAGGCATGGTATGTCACTTGGAGATGTGGAGCAGACAAAGGAATGGGACCAAAACTTAGTCAAGACAGCAGTATGCAAATATGGTGGAGGCCAGAAGAAAAGCTAGGAACACCTGTATCTCAAATTGTTCTACCTTTATTTTTATAATTAATCTGTGTCATTGTAAAATGATATGGATGCTTTTGTTTTTGTTTGCCAAAGAGATCACAGTTCAGTCTATAAACAATTTACTATCACACACCTTGCACAATGAGTTTTCTTCTCCAATGGAAATTACAAAAGCCTTTAATGTTACAGTGAGGACAATACATGCCGAATTATTTTAAAATAGCACTTTCTTACGCAGGTCAACTAAAAATTTACAGACTTTAGATATAAATAAGAATGGCTATTATGGAGAAATGGCAAATGAAAAGCTGGCCATATCAACTGAAAATAATGGAATTTGGTGAAATATTTCAAAAATGTTACTCATCTGGTTATGATTCCAGGACACACTTTATGATTAACGTACCAATTTGGAACAACTGTAGTTTTCCAAATGTTCTATTCCAGCAAACCCAGGTGAAAAAGCAGGACAAGAATGGATTACTCTTTGTACTCCAACTAAAAACACTGTCTATGCTTTATTTTTAAACCACCAAAAAACATGTTTAAATGATAATTGCACGCCTCAATGAGCACAGTTCCTTATTATTGGAACTGGCAGGGGGCCTTGACATTTGAGTCATCATTTCATTTTGTCTATTTCTTATCCTGGTATACAAATTAAATAAAAATACAATCCAAATGAAATATAGGGGGGGAAATCTGAAGCAGAAACTTTAAATTGAATTAATTTTTCTTAAATCTATAAAATGCATGATGCAATTAACATTGGTAATAACAAATTCTGTTTCAAGCACAATTTCAAAACTATTAATTTCAATTCTGAAGTCCAAAAGATTTTAAACGCTCCTACTCAAGTGTACTTCCATAAAACAGAACCTAGAATCTGGTTTTAAAACAACTACAAATGCAGACAATAACAAAAAGGTACCAAATTTCATTCACTCTGTAAGGATTCAAAAATGGTTAGGAAATTTGCACAAATAGAAGTATCTTTGCTAAATTATTGCACGAGCAAATAATCCAGACGAAAATATACAGAAGTATCAAACTGGAATCCACTGATTCCTTTAAGTATTTTCACGTTACTGAACTTCAGACAATGCAAGTATCACTGAATGATTTTTCCTATAGCACTGGATTGAGTCACACTGAACAAATATTTATCATCTAAACTTTCTCAAATGCTTTTCTTCAACGTTTTCCACTGAACTTTAAAATTATAAAAATCATCAATTATGAAAATAAAGCTATATAAAATCCTCAGAAATATCTTTGGCTTTGCTATACAAAGCTACTACCTTGTTTTCTTAATTTATGATTGCAGACATTCTAGAATATGTGTATGTCGATTATTTATTCACTGCTTTTACAATTGTTTCTGCAGCTGTTCCTTCCTTCCTTTAGCTCAAAGCAGCCTGTTCATCTCTAACAGCAAAGAACTTCCCCTAATGCTGGGAAACAAGCTGAAAAGTCGACAGGAAAATTATTTACTTTGATAAGGAACAAGTTTAAAAAGGATTCTTTTGAAAATTGAATGAATATTTGTCCTGGAAGTTGAATGATCAAAATGAAAATAGTGAAGTCTTTTATAAAAAAAAATCACTGGCTGTGTTTCTTTATATTTTATTATTTATTTTATGCTGACTTAAAATATGTTTCTTATTAAAAAATATGTTTCTTAAAATATGTTTAAAACCAACTACTCTAAGATTTATTTTTGGTATATTTTTGGTGAATTGCATATAATTCATAATCTACACTTTCTCCAAAAGGATTCAAGAAATTCACAATAATATCTAGCATTCATTATATGCTATAAAAGGCTAAAAATGTTCTAAAAGAGTCTCTATTTCAACACTAAAATTTAATTGGATGTGTAGTCTTGAGATCACTGATTAACTTATCAACTTTTGAGGAACAGATTACTCTGCATTTTAACACAAAAGACATAAACCAGATGCTCCTAAGGCCAAATTTAGCAGAGCGCATATTGCAATGTAACAAGCTTTTTACCTGCATTTCAGAATGAGGAAGTCTCACAGTGCAGAAATCAATCTTACTATTTCTCTGACTTCAATCACATGAAATATTCATGAGTTGATGGCATCATATTTTAAATGAGCCCCATCATTTTTGTAATTGCAATAGATGGTATTAATAAATGTCTTCTTTTGATATGCTGAAATAAATTAATGGATGGGGCAGACGCTATGCAAAATCACTGGGAACCAAGCCAAATCTTTTTACATACATCCAGGGACCAGTAATCTTCCAAATGGCACTTTAAGCTCTCTTGCCTAAATAATTACAAGGATAAGCAGCATGTAATTTACTAAAACATTTATCCATTCTTCTAGTTCCCATCATTCATATCAAATCCATGGCCTCTTACCTTGTCTTTATTTTCAGTACCAGAAGCCTCAGGCTTGGTCCTAATCACGAATGGGGTGGACAGCCGCAACAGGACCCTCTCGAAGGTGGCATTAACCTTTGGGGAAACAATTTCGAAGCAGTCCTCAAACTTGAGCACTTTGTGAGTGTCACATCGGAGTTGCTTCCTTAGGCCTTCACCCAGTTGCAGGACTGACATGTTGGGGTCAAACATTAGATGGAAGGGGAAGGCTCTGCAGAAGGTGTTGATGCTAATTCTGAGATCTGTAGGAACCTGGGAAGTTCCTTGTAGAAGATTCTTTGTGACGTTAGTGTTCTCACATTCTTTGATAAGGAAAGTAAGACAGCTACAATTGCCTGGGTTTGAACCCTCAGAGCCCAGCTTCTCATTTGCAACCTGTTCCACTTCCAAGTCAAGGCGGTAGATCTTCTTTCCTGCAGCCTTAATCATTCCCAGCATTGCAAACCCCACGATGTGGTGAGGGTGGAAGTAGTGGAGCAAGAGAGTACCTTCAGGGAGCTCTTTGCATAGGAAAGACGGTGACTCCAGAGTGGCCTGTTTTCCAAAAGAAGTTCTAATGTGTTCCAATAAAGCATCAAAGCCATTAAAAAAGTCCTGCAATGTGCCACCTACAGCTCGAAGGACTCTTTCATTCTCATCAAAGCATATATTAAAGAACTCCTCACCAAATCTTTCTTGAATTTCCTCAAACTTCAAACCTAGAGATAAACAGGAAACAAATGTTAGTGAATCAGAGCACAAACAATTGAATTTATATGTTGTTGAATGCTTATCCATAATTCCACTACAGTTCACTCTCTCCGTTGCATATTCTATGGAATATGCAAGAAGGTACTTCCCTTAGGCACACAAAATCCCCAACAGACTAATTCATTCACTTTATCCACTTTAAACGCATGCTCTGAGTGTGACTAAGATGCTAATGAGAATGAATATGTCCAGGTGTCTGTTCATAACTAATCTCTATTTTTAGAGCAGCTTTAGGTTTATGACAAACTGAACCAAAGGTTGATACTCCTCATATATTCCCTGCTCCACACATGCAAAGCTTCTGCAGTATCAACCAAAGTTCGTAAATCCACTACAGTTCACTCTCTCTGTTGCACATTCCACGGAAGTTAAGGTATCTTCCATTGTAATACCACCTGGGGTTGGTTCACTGCCTAGAAATCCTCTGGCCTCTGCCCGTTTATCCCTTCTTTCCCTTTATCTGCCACAGCATGAGCTTTTCCTTCATAATTTTTTTACTCCACTTATCAGAACCATCAAAAACCTTATTGTTTTCCGCAGCCTCGACGGAATACTGGGGTTGTCTGTTTATTGTCTCCAGGCATCTTCCACAGTACCATCATACTTTTAATCAAAATGCTTTTTTTTTTCCAGCAGAAAATTTCAACCAGAGAACAAATATGGAGAAGTCCATCAACATGATCAAGTAGAAACAAATGGCTTATTAATAATCTCAAGAGAAGTCAGGTAAACAAGGTCTCAGGGAGACAGAGGAAGACAAAACAAGAAATAGTGTGTTCAGCAACATGGTGATGATTTGCAATCCTTCATCCACAAAAGTGAAGGCAGCCAGGAGTGGAGCAAGAATCTGACCAGATAGGCCTTTGTTTCTCTGTACATACGCAGTACAAGGTGCCCCAGCAAAATGAACTCAGGCTTATGGAATTTAAATTAAAATGGAAAAAATACACAAATGCACACATGTTAGCATAATGAGAGGCAGGATCATATGTGATGTAGTAAAAATCGCTACTGAGGGCAATCTGCAGAAATACATGGAAGGCATTTGTTTCCTGAAGGGGAGTACAACGTGAAAGAGTTGAGTCTGCATGCTAAAGTCAGCTTGGCCATAAAGTCACTATGTTTTTTTTTTTTCATTTTATGTTGTTTGAAATCATTATGTATGCAGATTTTCTACTCTATTCCAAAAAGGATTAGGGAAAAGAAACACTGTTGGAATCTGGGATCTCTATAGTTTGATTTGTTATCCCTTTAATCATTCTGTCAGTGTCCCTTCCAACCATAAAAGAAGCAACAGATCAGTCAACAATGTCATGTTTAACACGGTCAAAGCACAGCAAGTGTTTTAAGAAATTATTATTGAGTCTAAAAACTGTATTAGCCAAGTAAAAAGATCAGTTTGACAAAGAAATTATTAAATTCAGGATGAAATGAGCAGATAAAAACCAAGTGAGAGTTCCTTTATCAAAAGGCACTTCACATTAGTTTTAGTTTCAAACAATGTGATGTCCAACATGTTAAGTCAATCATCACTAAAGTAAAAATGTCACCACTCATTTCACAGTGGCTTTTTACAAGACTGCTCTTCAATATATACTGTAATTACTAAGAATAATGCCAATCAACATTGATAATAATAGATTTAGCTGGTTCTCAGGTATGAAGGAGAGAAACCATGATGGATGATATTCACTTTGGCTCCTGCTCTGATTGCTCTGTTGACACTGCCTTAATAATTAGTTAAGCTATTATAAATGCTTCTATTCTTATCTAATCTTTTTTGTGTTTATCACTTATTGACACTAGTGATCATCTCTTCCTCCAAAAACTCATCCTTTTTAATTTATCAAACCAAACTATCCTTGCTTGATTACTCTGAAAATCCATTCTCATTTCTTGCATTCAAGTTTTTTCTGCAGTCTGAATTGTGGAATTGTGCATAAGGCCATCACCATTGGCACAGGTATTCCATATGTGCATTGTCCAAGCTGCTCCACTTCCTGTCCGCTCACTGCCTGTGGACTGGGAAAGCAGCAGAGGATGGCCTAAAGTGCTTGCTCCCCTGTACCTAGACAGGAGACCCAGAAAAAGCTTCTGGCTCCTGGCTTTCAACCAGACCAGCTGCAGCCATTGTGGCCACTTGGGGAAAGAACAAGCTCATGAAAGATCTTAATCTCCTTCTGTCACTAAAACTCTGTCTTTCAAACAAATGATTTTTTAAAAACTTTCTATGACAAATCCTTACATCTCCATCACCATTCTGTAACAAAAATATTCCAACACAAACTGATATGTATGTTAAATATATGTATATTAAATGAATTTTTGTTGAAAGCTTCTTGTAAAATTCTTAAGATTAAATATGCAATAGATAAAAGTTCCTTTTATCTGAATGCACTTCCTGAATTACAATATAACATATGTCATTGAAAATATTCCATTGGTTGATCCTGAAGCTTAGAAGAACTGCATTCTCAAAGTAGTTAGGTGCATTCGTACAGAAGAGGGAAAGAGAAATCGCTTCTAATTTGAATTTCCCATAATGCTGAAAGTGCTTTTATACTTAGATACAAGCATATGTTCTGTTTCTAAGGACACAACGTCAAAGAATCACCCAGAAACTTAACAGGCATTAAATACACCACAAACAACAAAATAAAAACTGTGAACACAGTAGTCTACCACCTAGAAATCCTTACTCCTTTGGGAAGCTCCTCTGTAAGGTACAATGATCATCAGTTTAAAATAATGCCATTAAGGCATATCCATATGCTAGATTTACTTTTCTAAAAATAAAGAAAACCTTAAGTTTTAAATGTTAAACACAAATATTGCACATAATAATTCCATGTAAATCACAATATTCAATTAATATTTTAATCTAAATTACTAAACTGTAAGGAAAGAGAACTCTGACCAAAATTTTTAAAATTAAAATTGATGTAAATTATTTCAACCTCTGTGAGTATCTGTTACATAACAATCAGTAAGACTTCCATTTTAAACCTGATTTCAAAATTCAGAAAGCATAAATAGATTAGTCAACACAGTTGTGACTCCCAAGGTTCTAACTACAACTAACACAAACTCCCTTCTTACAGTAAGCCACTTGAAACATAGACAATGCTCATCTCTTCTCACAAAGTGCTGTGACAACTTCACATTTCAATCTTCAGAATACATTTCCTCAAAAGGCAAATTTATTTTTTTTAAAAAATGGGTAAGTTTAAAAAAAATGTTAATTCACCTCTTCAAATTCACCTCTTCAAAAACAGAGGCAGGCCCGGCAGCATGGCCTAGCAGCAAAAGTCCTCGCCTTACACACGCTGGGATCCCATATGGGCACCGGTTCTAATCCCAGCAGCTCTGCTTCCCATCCAGCTCCCTGCTTGTGTCCAGGGAAAGCAGTCAGAGACGGCCCAAAGCCTTGGGACCCTGTACCCACATGGGAGACCCAGAAGAGGCTCCTGGTTCCTGGCTTCCAATAGGTGCAGCACCAGCCGTTGCGTTCACTTGGGGAGTGAATCATTGGAAGGAAGATCTTCCTCTCTGTCTCTCCTCCTCTCTGTATCTCTGACTTTGTAATAAAAATAAATAAATCTTAAAAAAAAAAAAAGATGCTAGAGGAGATTGACTGCAATGGAACTCACAAAGCAGGAAAGCAGAAAGCCCAGTGAGGTCAGGGAAAACAGGAAAAAACAAGTGCTAAATATGCAAGGACTGGAGGCAGGTATGGGAGGTGAGCTGTCAATATTACAGAAGTGGATTTGAACTTGCCAAGGCCAGAGTAAAAAAACAAACAAACAAAAAAAAACACTAGAAAGATGCTGCAATGTGTTTGAAGAAGACATATTTAGTTTATGGCAATATGAATGGAAAAGAGTGCCAAAAAGTATAATGATTTAATCCTTTTAAAGACTCCTGTGTACGTATTTTTAATCGTGCTCATTTACAAGTGAGCAATGTTAAACACATTCATGTTTAGACAACTGTAGGTGGCATAGCTCCATCTCAAAGTGAAGTCTAAGATCAAGTATTGTACAATAATCAGAGAATCACACAAGCAAAATCTCTGCATGAGGAAAAACATGCATGTCTTACTCACTGACATAACTGCATTCCATGTCGCCCAATAAATACTGCCTGGATGCTGAGTAAATTAATGTAGCATCAAAGACGATATAAAGGAGCAGTCAACAGTTCTCAAATGTCTCAACAAGGTCAAGTAAAACACTGACCGAAAAGTTATCAATTTGGATTTGTCAGACCTTGAGGGAACTTTGACAGCAGTTTCAGTGAAAGTGTCAAGGAAGACATGTGAGAATAATGGGATGAGGGATATGGGACAGGCAAAGAAAGATGTATTACTTTTCAGTGGAATCAATAATACTTGATGGCTAAAACCAGGTATTTTACAAACCCATAAACAATACGACCTCTGTGCTTAGTTCTTCCCTTCATCAAGAACCAGGTGAGCAAACAGAAATAGAGCAGCAAGATCATGGATCCACTGCAGGAAGCTCTATAAAAACAGGGAGGAAATTAGGGTCTTTTCAGCTGTGGGCACTACTCAGGATGCGGGGGCACCAGTCAACACTGTCAACACCAATATGAGAAAATATCAAAGCAGGAAGTAAACCTGCCAGTTACTGAAATTCCAAACATGCAGCTAAACAACCATCAACTACTACTACGAGCTAGAGACGTTCCCTATTTTTTATTAGAGGTTTGAAATGCACCAACATATCTTCTAGGTGATGCAAATGAAGCACACTTAAACCTCATATCCAAACTGTATAAAGAACTCAACCAATTTAGGAGATCATTATCTTTACAGAAACACAAATATTGTAACTAGTAAGATTGTAAGACTTCCATCAACTCACTGAAACACAGATTACACTTTGGAAATACAACATTCCAGCAGTACCTGGCCTAATGTTTAAGA